CTGGCACCATCTGGAGCAAGAACAATTCCAATTGTTAACAGACTAATTACAAATAGCTTCTTCTTTTTAAATGTCTAAACACCATTCAAACTGCACAATTGTAGCTCTATGATTCCAGTTTAACTGCCATGGCTGCAACCTGTGTAATGCTGGGGTTTGTAATTGGGTGCCATGCTAGAGCTGTCTGGATGAACACTTTAAATATCCCTCCCTGGACTCCAGATCCCAGAATCCCATACAACTGGACCATGGCAATTAAAGTGTCATCATAGTGCTATAACTGTATAATATGAATGGTCCTGGAATCTGGCTTCTTCCACTGCTGCTAAAAGAGCTGTGGTCCCTGTTGTGATGCTAAAATCCTAAATTTTCCTGATTTCCTGATAACATCTTAATATTCATACTTTCTCTTCCCATTCTGTTTCGGCTCAAAAATGCAAGTGTTCCAAATTTATTGCCTGGTATGTAATGAACCTGTAGTTCCCAGGCCCATCAGGCAACAGCAGACACAAAACCCGGTGGCATTTTGTCTACAAGCAAATCAGAAGTTCTTTAGACCAGATCAGAATATTTCTCCACTAGCCCAGTGTTGTCTCCTCTGATTTGTAGCAGCTCTTCATAACTAAGATTGCCAGCTTCCAGTTACAAATCACTCACGGGCCAGAATCATACAGTCTTCCAGAGACTGTTTGACTGTAGCTCCCAACATTCCCCACCACTGGCCATGCCTGATTAGACCTAGTGAGAGCTCTACTCAACAAAATCTGGAGGGAAACAGGATTGCAAATTTTATACATGATTTCTTTCCTTAGTGACAAGAGCTGTAACTGCATTACAACAAGAAATAAACTTCTATAACTGTAACTATTTAATGACAACTACAGAGGAATGGCACTAAAAGGAGGATTGGCACATTGTTCAGCAGCTGGGTGGACCACTCTAGGCGTAGAAGAGGTGGTGGCGGCTATGGTGAGTACCCCAACCAATTTGCTCTACCTGAGACAACAAAATGCCTACATAATAGTGTTAACAATCAAGTTTTGCCACACTAATATTTAAAAGAAAACTCTGGGGCTTAAGCACCACAATTAAAAAAGAAGAAACCAGACAGCTGTTCATCCTCAGCTATGTATTACTGAGGATTTACTAAAGATTGTATGTCCTTAGAGAAATTTAGCTTACAGTGAACAGCTTCAAAGTGATTCAAAAGTAAATGTTATTTTAGAATATTTAGCTTAATCCTCTGTGCTTTTTCCTGTGTGCCTCTCCCATGCAATTAAAAGATAACATACTGTGCTTTCCCCACATAAAAGTACCTTAAAGACTTTGCATTTGATCAACAAGCATTTCTACCATCATTTATGATACAATATAAACTGTCTTTCTACATAGCTTAATTTATTCTCTGAGTGGAGGCTGACCAGGACAGTTTCTTTTTTAGCAGAGGTGCACAGGTTATCACAGATCATCTGCAGAAGCTCAGAAGAGGACTGGAACCTCCAGACCCTGAAACAAGATGTATCATAGGCAAAAGTGTATGCTCACCACTTAGATTACCTAAACCTTGATAATTCACACTGTCCTTCAGGCCAACATATTGTGTCTTCTCAGAAACTCTGCTCCTCTGACAGGAAAGGTAGTTTGTATGGAGGGAATTACATGGTGCATGGCAGCTCCCTCTTTCATCAAATTAAATTGTTGACTCAGAGTTCTCTTAGATACAGCTTTACTCAGTGTTTCACTGTGCCTTGTGGGCTATTTTCCAAGGTCAAAACACAAAACCTAGGCATCTTCTGTCCTGGAACCAATCTCCAAAAGACACCAAGGGCCCACTGTATATGTGTTATAACTGTCAGGACTATCAGTATTATAGTGTTCCTTCACTGAATTTTTCAACACTGTTGCTACCTGTCTGTATTTTCTATGGAGGTTTAAAATTAAACAAATAAACAAACAATAACATTTTTAGTAAAACCCTTCTGCTGCATACAACATGCAGTCCATCCTTAGAATGGGGCAGGAAAGTATCAGAGATTAAACAACTCACAAACTAGATGGTTAGACATTCTGGAACAGGGGTCGGCATACCATTGGATGGTGGGGCTGGTTCCGCTGTCCCTCAATCGTCGGTGGGCCAAAGGGGGGGGAATGGCGCCAGAGGCACGCGCATGTGTTTGTGTGCACACACACCACTCCCACCATGGTGCGCTTGCTTGCACGAGCGTGGGGCACCATTTTGCTTTCCAAAATGGCACCTGCACTTGCGTATGCATGCACACTACTCCCGCCGTGGTGTGCATGCATGCACGAGCGTGGGGTGCCATTTTGCTTTCCAAAATAGTGCCTGAGCTCGCACATGCATACGCACCATGACGGGTGCCATTTGGAATGCAAAACGGCACCACGCATCGTGAGCGCATGTGCACGACGCCAGCCCCATTTTGCATTCCAAAATGGCGCCCACCATCATGCGCATGCATATGCAAGCGCGGCCGCCATTTTGGAAAGCAAAATGGCGCCCCCACGTCACGTGCCCAGCAGCGGTGGCAGTGGTGGCGGCAGGACCAGCCACGGGGTGGTTCTAAGGCCTCAGCAGGCCGGGTTCAGCCCACGGGCCGTAGTTTGCCATCTGCTGTTCTGAAATAAAGAGATTCCTCTGTCAGAGGCTGTTTGTTTTCAATTAATCAACAGCACTGAATCTCTTTGCCCCTAATTTTACATGGTTTGATAATTCACAGAACAATAAAATGTACATAAAATGCTGTGGAGCTACCGTATTTTCCGGTGTATAAGACGACTGGGCATATAAGATGACCCCCAACTTTTCCAGTTAAAATATAGAGTTTGGGATATACTTGCTGTATAAGACGACCCCTCTTCCACCCACACCTAATAAATTTTTTTTAAAAAATCAGATTTGATTTCAATATGGTAATTTTAATTCAAATGCTTATGACATGCAGGTACTTAGCAGGAAAACTGTCACTTATAAACACAACAAACTACAGCTCCCATGTTCCCTAGCATTTATTTCTGCAATGTGTTTTGGACCTTACTTTTTTAAAAAAAATAGTCCAGATTTAAATGTTGCTTTAAAAATTATTTCCATCTCCCAGCTATGAGATGTTTGGGGGGAAATGAGGAAGTGTTGGTGGGAAGGATGCATTCTGGGGTATGTACAATTTGTGGTCAAGTAAGTGACCCTGG